GCCTGCGGGATGCTCCGGGGGAGAGGCGAGGGCGAGCCGGCCTCCATCCGCTCGAGACCGCGCCGTCGCCGCCTGCTGGGGAAGGGCGCGGGAAACCCCTGGGCCTTTTATATTACGCGCGCCTCGTCCTTGGGGCGGGGCTGGTGGCTTAAGACCGATGCTCATTGGCTGAAATTTCTGACGCCCCCTGACCGCGTGCCCAATAGAATAGTCAGAAGATGGAGGACGCCGGGCCAATAGGATGTCAGAGGCAGAGCGAAATGAGGTCAGGAGACCCAAGGGAAAGTCGAGAGACAAGGGGTCAAGACGCGGCCCAGCCTCGACTTACCCTAGGCCCCGACAGACGTCGAGGCGCTTGGTTCCTAAGTGCATCTCCACCCATAGAGTCTCAAATATAGTAAAATCAGACGTGGGGTTTGCTTGCTTGCTTGTTTTGTCAAATTGGGGGATTTCAAAAAACATTTGGGTTTTGTTTTTGCTGTACTGCAGATTAAACCCAGGGCCTTCATCCTGAGCTATGCCTCAGCTGTTTTTGTTTTTATTTTTGAGACAGCGTCAGCGTCCCTAAATTGTCCATGTTGGGCTCCAACTTACTTTCGTCCTGCCTCAGCCTGGCCAGGTTGCCAGGGTTACAGGCGTGCCCACCATGCCGGATGCAGATAGTTTTTCTCAGGTTGGAGGATGAGTTTAGTTTCCCGGCACACGTTGGGGTCACGTGGGACAAGATGGGCAGGGTCCACCAAGTGGTCCGGCCTGTTCAGCCTCTGCAGCAGGAAGAGGGACAGACTCCTGGGTGGAATGCTGTCAGTACAGCCTCACATGGTGAATGAGCCCCAGCCCTTTCCTTACAGCCTGCACCCAATCAACCATTACCTCCCAGTCCCGGAGGCGTTTGACCCGAGTGTCCCCTCACAGACAAGTCCGATACCCCCTCCCCTTCCTTACATCCCCTTAAGTGTACAAGATGGGAATCACAAAACACAGCTTGTCTTGTAATACTCGTTTGTTTAAAAATAAAACCAACAGCCAGACCAGGTGTTACACTCCTGCAGTCCAGTATTCTGGGAGGTTGAGGCAGGAAGAATGCAATTTTGAGCCTAGTCAGGGCAATTCAGCGACTCAGCAAGACCTTGTCTCCAAAAAAAAGGAGGGGAGAGATGCTGGGGATTTAGTTCAGTGCAAAGGCCCTGGGTTCAATCCCCAGGCCCCGGCAGGGGCAGTTTTGCAGTATTAAGTAGACTGCATGGGAGAGGTCTAGGGCGACTTGGAGGTGTGGAGGCATCTGAGGGCTGGTGTCTCACAGCTGCGTGCAGGACCAGGGAATGACCGTGGGAGGGCTTGGGAGTGGGAGAAAGAGTGAACTGGGAAAGAACAGCAGAAGAGGGGAGGGTGAGGAGAGGGATGGAGACAGGCAGCCGCCCTGTGACTGTGACGTGTTCCCCACGGACCCTGAAACCTACCCAGGACCTGGCTTCACTCTGCAGGGTGTGGCACTCAGACACAGAAGCTTCCACCCAGGGCTCCCTGGACACGGCGGGTATCAGACACGGGCCTCTCTGCAGGAGCCGGTGTGGTATCCACGCCACCCCCAGGCAGAAGTACTGGCTCCTACGTGGTGCGCTGCCTTGGTGGGTGGAACTTCCCACGTCGACAGACACCCTGCTCCGGAGTTGTGTCTCCACGCGACTGCCCTGGGACGAGGTGCCTGGTAGGTCTGTGTCTTGGTTTCTCGTAGACTTCACCCCATGTACCTTTTCCCTCTGCTGATCTTGGTTTGTGTCCTACAAAATGTGCCTATGAGTACAACGGCTTTTCTGAACCTTGTATGTTTAGCAAATCATGAAGCCTATGTGATATTGAGGAGAAAATGCTACATAAGAAACAGCCTAAATGTCAAACTCATCAAGGCTTAATTACTTAACAAATACCTGAGTATCTACAGTGCGCTGTGCATATGTACACGGGACAGATAATGTGGAGAAAATCCACATTAAGTCTGTGCTCTTCTGGAGCTGGAAATGTGGTTGGGGAGTGTTAAGGCTGGATCTGAAATGTCCCCCCAGTTAGAGGCAGGGCTTCAGCAGGGTGACTGGTCACGGGGTTGCTGTAACCTTCAGGAGATTCATCCACTGATGAGCGCCATTAGGAGGTGGGGGAAGAGCAGGGGAAAGGACCGAAAAAGAATTAAGATGTGCTGTTTACGTGTACGGATGCTGCACGATTAATGTCACTGTTATTTTTTTCCCCAGTACCACAGATTGCACCGAGGACCTTGAGCTAGGCAGGCACAGCACCACTGAGCTAAATCCCTAGCCCTAATGTCATCATTATAGCCTGCAAACATGTACTAATAAATATTTTTAAATATTTGGAACCTAAAAAAAAGGGTGGGGCCTGGTCGGAGGCCGGTCACTGTGGGCATGACCTGAAAAGGTGTATCTTCACCCGGCTCCTCGCTTCCTTCCCGTCTACCATGATGTGAGCAGTTCTCCTCCCCCAGACCCTTCCACCATGCTGTTTCTCCATTTGAGCATGCAGACCATGGACTGAAACTTCTGAAACGGTGAGCCAAAATAACCTCTCCTCCTTTAAGTTGTGGTACTGATATTGTGTCCCAGTGATGAAAGTAAGACAGAAGAAAGGCAATGAATAATCAAACAAATAGAATTGTGAAAGAGTAGCCATGACCTACACAGTTGCTCTCATCGGCTTCCTAGAGTATGAGCTGGTTGAGATGAAAGATCAGCATTAACTACCTGGGCACAGTGGATGGTGAAAGCAAACAGGAAGTGAAGAGGGTGAGATGTGTATGACACAGGGCAGTAAGTTGGCACATCCCAGACCAGGTCAAGCTCCGTGGACTGGCCATGCCAAGGACCCGGGATTATTCCAGTTTAAGGCAACTCAGGTATCATAAGGAAAGGTGGTGGGGATGGCAAGGGAATGGAGTTCGGACCTAGATGTGAGGTGGAGCTCTGGCCTCAGAGTGGAGGGTGGACAGAAGTGGAAACGTGGACAGGAGATGGCCAGATGAAGTCAGGTGAAGCCGGGTGGATGGAGTGTGGGTGAGGGAGAGGCCATGGACGGAGAGAAGTGGACCCATGGCAGAGGCAAAAGGCAGCAAGCATGATGGTGCACACCAGTCATCCAACACTGAGGAGGCCGAGGCAGGAGGACTGCCGAATTGGAGGCCAGCCTGGGCCACACAGTGAGTTCAAAGCCAGCTAGAGTATACAGCAAGAGCCTGTCTCAGGAAACTACTACACACGGGATATCAGTGCAAGGTGACCATCTGAGCTGGGGCTCTCTCTCCTGGTGACTACACAGCACCGTGCATCAGAACCAGGGAGAAGTGGGGGTCATTTATTAGATACAGGATCTTGCCAGATTGTCTAGCCTGACTGTCATCTCCTGCATCCCAGCAGTCTTCTTGCCTCAGCCTAAGTAGTTACAGGTATACACACCATGCCTCACTGGGACTCATTTGCAGAATCTTAAGTTACGTGGAGCCTGAGTTATATTTGAAATGTCCAATGTGGTGACAAGGGGTGCTGGGAATTCAGGTTTAGAGAACAGCAAAGGTCAGGATGAGGAAAATCAACCTAAGGGTGTTGGGGGTAAGGCAGATGACTGAACCAGGAGCCCAGAGTGAGGGAGCGGGGGCCTGGGCCACATCCAGAACTTCCAATGCTTCTGGCACCGGGAAGGGGACAAAGCACAGCAGGGGGAGCGGAGGGAGAGAAGAGTTGAACTAGAATGGTGTGTAGCTCAGCGGTGCCGCACCTGCCTTCCAGGTGCTGGGATTCCGGGTGCGCCACCACACCCGGCCTCGGAGGGTGGGCTGTGAAGAGGGCAGCGCAGCGGCAGGGAGCAGGTGTGGAGAGTGGAAAGAAGTGACAGAGAGGCAGAAATGCCAGCTACGGAGGGAGAGGGCCCCAGAAGGACCCCCGTGGATGAAGACAACCTGCGAGGCCAAGAAAGGACCTGGGATGGCAAAGGGCGGCAGGCCTCAGAGACACCTGGATGCGCGTGGTGCTACGCCTGCGCGCGGGATGGGCTACGGATCCGGGGAGCCTGCGGCCGCGGTGCACAGGGCACAGGGTAGTGAGGAGCCAGCAGTGCACAGAAAGGCTCTGTGTCTGTCTGGCCAGAGTCAGACCCGAGGGGCTGAGACACACAAACCACCTCACAGCAGGGCTGCAATGCATCCGTTCTGGGACCGGGCCCGCAGCCAGGGGTCCTTAGATGCCTGGGCTCTCCTGCCTGAGGCTCCCGCCTTACCCCACCGCTCAGAGAGGGCACAGGAGGGCACCGGACAGCTGGCTGGCTGCGCTGTGGTCTCATCAGTGCATCCAGAGTTTATGGGTGTGGACTGATCCACACTCGATGGGTCCAGCCCAACAGATCAGACTGACACTGCAGTTTGTCACCACTGCTCTGGGCACACTGGACAGCACAGGGTCAGATGGGGACGCCAGGTCCTCGGGAGGAGGAGGTGCAAAGGCGCAGTATGGGCACCATGCCGACTTTTCAGAGCGAGGGAGCAGCAGAGTGGCAGGGCAGGCCAAGCGAGTGCAGGACTGCGGAGTTTGGATAATTTCAGAGCCCCAGTGTTGGGATTGCCCTTTTCTGTTGTCATTCTGTTTTGTTTGAGGCAGGATCTCGCCATGTGGCCCACGCTGGCCTCAAATGCAAGGCGATTCTCCTGCCTCAGCCTCCTGAGACTGGATTGCAGGAGTGCACCCTACGCCCAGCTGCCCCTACTCTCCTGGCACCTGGTACACTGTGTGGGGGCTGATGCGCGAGAACCTGATGGGCAGCAGGTGACTGGGTGGATGGTTTGCTTCACAGAAGTAGGCACAGTCACATGGCCATCTCACCATTTGCTGTGGAAAGAGCTGTGTCTCCAGGATTAGAGAGGTCCCATTTATCACAGGAGAATAAAAACACATTTAACATTTACATGGGCGTGGTGGCTTGCCCCTATTACCCTAGCACTTGGGGAGGTTGAGGCAGGAGGATCCTAAGTTCAAGACTAGCCTGGGCTACACAGTGAGACTCTCAAAAACCAAAACTGGTCTGAGCAGGCACCCTTAACAGTGCTCTGGCTTCCCACACCTGAGACAGGAGAGGCTACCCTTAGAGGGTCTGAGTAGAGTGAGCCACACGCACCCCAGCCCCAGATCCTGCGCCCAGCGGTGGCTGCAGAGACCTCTCAGCTGCGGACAACCACTCCCACTGCGGCTGAGAAAAAGACTGACCCACGTGTACGCAGTAACACACCTTTTAATTTGGGCATCTGTGCTGCACAATGCAGGAATTATGGGAATGCCCTGCTCTATTCTCCATTCAAGCCAAAGGCTACATTTCAAACAGAGCAACAACAGGATGTTTACATCACACTTTAGGAATACTCTCACCGGCCGTGTTTTGTTTTGTCTTGTTTTCTGGGGGGCACTGGGGATGGATGGGCACTCAGGACATCGTGCCTGCAAGGCAAGTGCAGTGCCCCTGAGCTACATCCCCGGCCCCTATGGCCTCTTCACAAAGTGAGCGACAGGAGTGCTCAAGCTGACCACTTGGAGCTGTTTGATCGCTGTGTGCACAGCGTGAATCCGGCATGCGCACCGCACGCAGACACGGATACATGGCTTCCAGTGGTACATAAAGGGACGCCTCCGCTCACAGACATCTGTGCTCGTGAACAACTTGGTTCCTTTGCTTCTGTTCGTGAACGCTGCATTGTGATGAACACCACAGCCACCCGCCCAGAACTGTGGAAGGAACTGAGCTCGCAGACCGAGGTACCACTGCCCACACACGCACACACGCACACACGCACAGGAAGGGGGCCCTTTCTCAGCACATTTCCACTGTAACTCGCCACGGGTTAAATCTTGGCTAGGCTGTGACAAGTTCCGTGCAGATTGGGAGCTTATCATAGTCTTTCTCCCAAAATCATGGTCCTCATTTTCTGCTGAGGGAAGCAGTACTTGCAGCTTACACACACTACAGTGCCATCCATCGCCGTGGAGTTAGAGCCGCAGCCCGGCCGCTGCCCTCCTGGCTTGCGAGCTCAGCTCCGACTGAGGCTCAGGACGGACTTGGGAGGTTTCTGAGCTCTGAAGGGAGCACTTCAGTGCCCGGCTTTCTGTGCAAACACACCTTACACTGAAACCCCCCTGAAGGCCGAGTCTGTTCTGTGCTGGACAGCGTGCCCAGCTCACGTGAGGGTACTGCGTTCCAGACTTCCTCCAGGTCTTTCCCCCACGAGTCCCGAAGCAGCCTGGGTAAGGCAGGCGCTGTGGCTTCGTGGGGCAGGATTCGGGCAGGCGGAGTTGTCCTGGAATCCCTGAGTGTGACAGAATCCTGAGCAATCACTGAGCCTTCACGGCCACAGACCTGAGACTGTGCCCGGCCCTTGAGAGCCCCGCGGAGCATGGGAGGGTCCCACAGGTCACCCACACAGTGCTCGGGGCACACACTGAGGGGACAGAGACCGAAAACGCCAGGCTGCACACGAGCACTCACCGGAGTGCACCTGTGCTAAGTCAACTGAGGGGCGAGAGGCGGCTCAGGGACGGGCTGCAGGGGAAGAGGAGCTGGGGGCAGCGTGTCTGCTTTGGGCAATGAGGGAAGTGCGGGGGCCGAAGACATGTCACAGGCACCTCAAAAGCAACACCTAAAACAAGTGCACGCCTTAGCACTACACACCCCCTCCACTACTCAAACAAAATTTATTCTCTGCTGTGTTACAACAGAAAACGCAGCCCAGCGACGGCCAAGATGCACCGTCCAACCAGCAGCACAGACTACAGATTCACGAGGTGTCTTCATTTTGCCACGAAGGAGAAGAAACCCGGGGGTGGGGGTGGGGTGACCCACACCAGGCAAGCGCTCCCCCAGCAAGCCCCATCCGCAGCCCAGTGAGCAGGAGAGCAGGAGCACCCGCCAAGGGCCAAGCAGCCGAGAGCCGGACTGGAGCCGGGCCGGCCAGCAGGCCCTGTAATTCCCACTTGCTCTGCTGTGCCTCCTGGTCCAGAAACCCACTGTACAGGGCAAGTCCGATGCAGTATGATGTCACAAAAAGGAGCTAAGAATTCAGAATAGAAAATCCCCAAAGAGAATTCACAGAACAATGAAAGAACAATCTGTGAGCTCAATGAAAGCTCAAGAGAAAAGAATATGAGCCACAGAGAGAAAACGGAACGTCAGAAGAAACAGAAGAAAGTCCTGTGGGACCTGTTGCACAGTGCCAAGGCCACCACTCACATTACCAGAGTCCTAAAGAGAGAACCGAAAACGTGGGGAAGAGAAAAAGATCTGAAGAAATAACGGTTGAACGCTCCATTTGGAAAAGGCGTAATTCTACAGATGAAAAAACTGAACAAGAGCTGACCAGAATAAACTTAAAAAAAAATCCATAGACACATCATAATTAAACAATGTTATAGAGAAGGAAAAACATTTTGAACACAGACTGAGAGAAACTACACGCTGGAACCTGCAAAATGATGGATCAAACAGCAGCAAATCTCTCACTGAAAGCCAGTGGACAGAAGGATGGATGTTTATCCAGTGCTAAAGAAATGTGACCCTGAGTCCCGTACCCCACAAAACACCCCTCTAACAAGGGGGCAGAGAACAAGGGCTCTGGCAGACCTACCCTAGATAAAAGCTACAGCGTTTACAGAAAGGAAAGTTAACGGACGATGACCTGGGATTTCCAGAAGCGCCAAAAGTAGAAAGGGTACTGTGGAGCAGACTTCTCGTGACCTGTAGTGCGTGTCTGACAACTTCCAACATGGCAGAAGTACTCCAAGGCAGCCTATCAGCAGGAAATGTAAATGAAGTGCTAAAATGTTAATGCCATTACACTGTGGGAAGCTACACATAAATACTCAAACACTGTACCTTCAACAACTGACAACACAAAGGGGTATGTATCAGATACACTCTAGTGTGCTGAAGTAACCTACAGGGAAACACTGAAAACCAAAAGCCTAAAATAATAACAACAATAAACAAACACAATGGCAGGTGTAAGCACAGCATACCAAGGAGGCTGGAGCAGGAGGATCATAAGTCGGAGGTGACCCTGGGCAACTTACCAAGATCTTGTCTCAAAATAAGGGCTGAGGATGCAGCTCGGTGCTCCTTGGGTTCTGTCCTCAGTACCAGTAAACTAAATAAAATTTAAATGTTCTAAATATAACAATGAAAAGACATCCAAAATAAAATTTAAAACACTACCCAAGTACACACTGTTTATAAGACTCACCAGATAATGCTGATATAGTTGAAAATAAAATGTAGAAAAATATCAAGCATACAGTGGGAGGCTGAAGCAGGAAGGTCACTGCAAGTTTGAGGCCACCTGGGCTACACAGTGTCCCAAGTGCAAGGCTCTGGTGCAGTGAGAGTATGCTTGAATGCACGGCCTTGCTCCGGTCAGGCTATTATGTCCAGCTCTGGAGGCTGCTGTGGACACTGTGGCTGGCTTCAGAGACAGCCACTTGGCACTGACATAAAAGCCACGAAAGTGGTTTGATCCAGAGGCCCACCAGGCACAGCCAGAAAAGGTGTTTTTTGGCCAGTTTAAGATGGCATGGACATCCTCAGGGAAGACACCCTATTGCGCCCTGAGAAGCCTTATAGCTGAGGGTTTGGATCCTGCTACTGACCAAGTGTAAGCTGAGAAATCAGTTCGTTCCACACAATGGAGCACAGACTCACTGAAAAGCAGACTATTCCCTTTTTAAAAAGCGCTATGGCCCAAAGATCATGAAGCTCTCACTCCAGCAATGTTCCTCAGCCTCTGCAGGGTAACCAACGCTTGAAAGAGGAAGACTGGAAACTTTTTTACATGACCAGACTCCCAGAGATTCTCTCTCCAGGTTTCCAGGTCACAAAGCAGATGAGCTGGCTCATGTCCTCGTAAGTAAAATGCTCATGAGGTACGAAGACAAGATGGCAACAAAAGGCATATGCTGACAGAACATCCACCACAAACACAATCCAGGGACCAACTACCCTTCTTATACACATTCTTCAGCTACCTGCCTCTGCTGGCCAACCCACTAATTAGAAGAAAAAAATGAGCCAGGCATGGTGGTACACTCCTGCAATCCTAGTACAGGGAGGCTGAGGCAGGAGGATTGCTACATAGAATTCAAGGCTAGCCTGAACTATGCAGCAAGAGCCTGTCTCAAAAAGCAAAACTCAGGAGGGAGAAAAGAAGGGAAAAAGAAAAAAGAACTGAAAATAGAAGGAAATAATGAAAACAAAGAATTTGTACACAGGAAGGAAAGGGGACGGAGGCGGGGAGGCAGGATGTGTCATGTGCAGGTGGAATTCCCTATGAGAGGAGCGTTATCATTATGTGTGACTAAATGCACCAATTAATGTTTTGCTATTAAGAAAAGAACAGGGGATTTAGCCCAAGTGGTTCCACTGCCTGCTTCACAAGCACAAGGCCCGGACTTGGATCCCCGGTACCAAAAAAACAAACAAACCACAAAACCTTCAAACAACAAAAACAAAGGATGGGGTAGGGGTGGGGGGGTGGTAAAGAAAAGCTCGGCTTGGCTAACTCAGTAAGACCCTGTCTCAAAAATTAAAAAGAGGGCCAGGGATTTAGCTCAGTGGCACTGTACCTGCCTTGCAAGCACAAGGACCTGAGTTAGATCCCCAGTGCCAAAAACAAAAACAAAACAAAACAAAACAAACAAACAAACAAAAAAACCACCTGGGACGAAGCTCAGTGTAAAGGCCTTGCATTCAATCCTACTGAAAAATTTTTTTCTTAAATGCCTAAAACCAACCTCTAGGTCCGGCTTGCTACAGAATGCTATCAACATTATAAAACCACAAATACACTAACTGCACCTGCAGTCTTCCAAAACACAGAAGGGAAGTCTTTCCAACTCACACCGGGAGGCCAAACACCTAGACACAAAAACCAGAAGACACAAAACAAACAGCAACAAGGGCAGGGGATTTAGCTCAGCGGTTTGGTGGCCTGCCTCGAAAGCGCAAGGACCCAAGTTCAATCCCCAGTACCAAAAATAAAATAAAAAATAAAAATAAAAACAACCAAACAGCAACAAAAAACAGAGAGGAATCTCAGTGGTACAGTGCTTGCCTAGCATGTGCAAGGTCTTGATTCAATCCCCAGGACCATAAAAAAACCAAAACCCCCACATATACATACAAATTTAAGACAAAACAAACAAGCAAGCAAGCAAATAGAATCTGGGAGTGATCACACATACATGTAATCCCACCCCTGGGGGGCTAAGGTAGGAGGAGCCCAAGTTCAAGCCCAGCCTGGGCAATTTAGCAAGTCCCTGGCTCAAAATGTTAAAAAGCGGGCTGGGGATGTAGTTCAAAGGACCTGTATTAATTCCTAGTACAAAAAAAGAAAACTACCTGCCATAAGTCAAAACATTAAGAGGTGGGGAGAAGCATAGAGACAAAAACCGCCTCGGCACAATATAAGCAAATGGAATGACGCCATGTGATATTATCAAAATAATGTCCCACAAACGACTGTGGCTTATTCTAAGGATGCAGGCTCGCTGGGTATTTCGAACTCTTATCAGTGTAATACAGCCTGTCAATAAGATCTAGAAGGAGAATCACACTACGCTCTCAACTGGTGTTGAAAAAGCACTTGGCAGAATCCAGCATTCACCCATAATGACATGGAATCACAGCAAGTTGGGAACAGAAAGAAATTTTCTATACTTGAAAAAGAATATCTATTAAAAAAACTTTAGGGCCAGGCATGGTGGCTTGCACCTATAATCCCAGCACTCGGGAGGCTGAGACAGGAGGATCGCTGTGAGTTCAAGACCATCCTAGGCTACATAGTGAGTTCCAGGTCAGTCTCAACTAAACAGTGAGACCCTGTCTCAAACAAAACAAAACAACAACAAAAAGCCCAACATAAAACCTCAGGTCTCAGGATGTAGCTCCACAGCAGAACAGTTGCTCATCAACCATGAGGCTCTGGGAACGGCACCCAGCGATGGTGCCCACGTGTCTGTGTGCTAGCAGTAGCCTCTACCTCGTGGTGAAAAACTGAGTATTTTCACCCTGGCATGAAGAACGCAACAAAGGCAGCCTACCTCACTAATGCTACCCAGTGTTCCGGGGGAAGTCCTGGCTGGTGCAATAACAAAATAAAAGGTATTCAGAAGTAAAATCTGCCTTGCAGATGACATCTGTAGATAGGAAATCTCAAGGGTTGTAAGAGAAAAGGCTAGAAATAATAAGTGAGATCAGCAAGGTTACAGGACAAAATAATAGTTAAAAAAACAAAACCTGTTTCTACGTAGTACCAAACATCATGGAGAAAATGGAGGCTTATATACCAATGCCATTTATACACCAGAAACACAAACAAAATGATATTCACCAGGCATGGTGGTGCTTGCCTGTGATCCTAGTACTCTAGGAGGCTGAGGGAGGAGGACTGGAAGTTCAAACCCAGCTTAAGAAACTCAAATTAAAAAACATTAATGAAATATAGTAGATCGAGAAATGCTTAAATGGAGACATACTACATTTATGAACTGAAAGGTCCAGCACAGTAAAGATAACAACTGTCATCTGACTTAGACTTTTTTTTTTCCTGGTACTGCAGATCAAACTCAAGACCTTGCATTTGCAAGGCAGGGGGGCACCAACGAGCTAAATCCCCAGCCACCTGGCTTATAGATTTAATTCAATTTTTATGAAAAGTCTATCAAGAGTTTTTTTGTAAACATAGACAAAATTAGCCTAAAGCTTATATGGAAAGTTAAAGGAACTAGAAATGTTAAATAAATTTTAACTAAGAAAATTCATTTACCCATTTTAGAGATTGATCGTGTTAGCTATAGCAATTAATAGGCAAGGAGACCAAGAAAAAAATCTTCTTGTTCAATTTTTAAAACAATGTGAAGGACTTTTCTAAGTCAAGTCTTCCATAGTCTTAACTGATCAATAAAATATGCCCATTCAATGCATATCTTTATTGCCTTAAATATAAAGACACTTCATGAATCAAGTCCCCTAACTTCTCATAAAATAGTCTGTAAGCTCCTCAGGGGCCAGGAACCTGTAGGATACCACATAAGTTCGCAGATCCTGCACTTCTCACACTCCTGCTGCTGGGCAGCAGCAAATGTGCCCACAGGACATAAGGCAGGGGACCCTTCCCCTGGAAACAACGCTCCCCTCACCCAAGTAAGCTAAGGAACAATGACAAAGTGCTGCAGATGGGCAGAGAAGTCTGAAAATATGTGTGCTCCCGTTTCATTTTCTGTGCATCTCCTGCTATTGAACTCAGGTCCTTGCAACTTGCGAGGCAGGCAGTGGAACCACTGAGCTAAATCCCTGGCCCCATCTCCTATTAAAAGTAATTCCTGAGATAACACTGCATGTAAACTATGGAGATAGACGTAGCTCAAGATTTTCCCACATGCACAAACCCAGCGGGTCTCCCTGGATGGACCGAGGGGAATAAGGCTCTAGGCGGGGCCCATTCCTACTCGAGTCTGCAGATGCAGCAGCTTCTCTCAAGGCGAAGACACTCAGAGGGCTGCTCTTTGGTGTGAGTGATCAGAAGCTAAGGAAGCTCTTTTCTCTGGTGAGAGATTTCCCTCAGGGGTTACGATCATGAAGTCCTTTCCCATAAGGAGTTCCTGGAGGGTCACCGAGGGGTGGGTGCTTGAGAAAGGCTGTCGCTCCTCTTCAGCACTGGCTGGGTTTCTCCCCGAGTGCATCCGCTGATGCTGCGTGAGGGAAGAGCTGCGGCTGAAGGCCTTTCCGCACTGGCCACACTTGTAGGGCTTCTCTCCCGTGTGGATGACGGCGTGCCGAATGAGGTTCGTGCTCCAGCAGAAGGTCTTCCCACACTCCACGCACTCAAAAGGCTTCTCCCCACTGTGGATCCTCTTGTGCCTGGTGAGGCCGGACATGCGGGCGAAGGCCTTGCCGCACTCCACACACTCATAGGGCTTCTCTCCCGTGTGGATGCTGAAGTGGCGGATGAGGTCTTTCCGGTTGCTGAAGGCTTTCCCACACTCTTTGCACTCGAAGGGCTTTTCTCCAGTGTGGGTCCTTTTGTGCAAGATGAAGGTGGAGCAGTGGGTGAAGGCCTTCCCGCACTCACCACACACATAGGGTTTCTCCCCAGTGTGGATGCGCTGGTGCCTCTTGAGGTAGGACCTGTGGTTGAAGGCCTTGCCGCACTCCAGGCACTCGAATGGCTTCTCCCCAGTGTGGATGACGTAGTGGTGGATGAGGGCCGCGCTCTCAAGGAAGACCTTGCCGCACTCGCTGCACTCGTAGGGCTTCTTCCCCGTGTGCGTCTGCTGGTGCCACAGGAGGTACGACCTGTGCTTGAAGACCTGGCCGCACTTGAAGCACTCGTAGGGGTTCTCCCCACCATGCACAACGTAGTGTCTGAGGAAGCTGCCCTGGTGTCGGAAGACTTGCCCGCACTCCGTGCACACGAAGGACTTCTCCCCGGTGTGTCGCCGGCTGTGCAAGACAAAATTTGAGCGGTGCGTAAAAGCCTTGCCACACTCGCCACACGTGTAGGGCTTCTCCCCGCTGTGGATGCGCTGGTGCTGGGAGAGGTAGGACTTGCGGTTGAAGGCCTTGCCGCACTCCAGGCACTTGTAGGGCCGCTCCCCCGTGTGGATCATCTGGTGCTGTAGTAGGTGCGTGCTCTTGATGAAGGTCTTCCCACACTCCGTACACTCATAGGGCTTCACTCTAGAGTGGATCTTCTCATGGCCAGCAAGCAAGTGTTTCTTGTTAAACACCTTTCCACACTCGCTGCACCTGAAGGCATTTTCCTCCTCCAGAACCATGTCCCCTGCAGGGACCTGCTCCGCCACAGTCCTCAGATAAACTCTGTCATCTGTCCCTAAGCCCCCAGGGCCAGGGATCGTCCTCCCAGGAAGCTTCTCCCTTGGGGCCTGCACCCCCACTCTCCAGCATCCTTCCTGGCCGTCTGCTGGGCCGCCCTGAGCCAGAGCTTGCACCCACAGGGAGGCCCAGGAGGCTCCATGCGTCAGCTGTTCCTGAAGCCTGGCTCCCTCAAACAAGGCTGGCTCAGTCGTGGCGGGTTCTGTGG